GAAGAAGAAGAAGAAGAAGAAGAAGAAGAAGAAGAAGAAGAAGAAGAAGAAGAATCCAGTTGCCCCCTTGAAAAAGCACGTTTGGAAGAACCATGACCTGGAGGATGGAGAATCTACACAGATCTTTAGCTAGACAATCTGGGATGGACACCCTTTGAAGGATGTGGGAATAAGGAATGGATTTCCAGAGAGGAAAAAATTTCAGGAACCATTTGCAACACTCAGGTGACCCTGAGGACACAGAAAAACCTCCAAGTGGCCTCAACAACCCATTAAAAGGACGCAAATAACCAGCTTTCTGCAAGGAGCATAAATCCTTCCAGTTCCCCACCATCCAGTCGGAATCGGAGAAGCTCCTTGGATGAGAAGCGAAACGTCTTCCAAGAAAACAGAAGTCCATTTGCCTCTTAAATTCTGGGCTCGATTGTGGTCGTAAATCGAGGACTGGCCTGATCTGGCTCTCCCTCTATAATTTCCCTTCTCCTCTTAAGGGCATCAGTGTTACGTTTCAGGGTTTTTGACCTGAAGAGCATCTTGTTTTAGGATTTAATGTATCTTGTTTTCGAGACTTTTTCGGAGGACTGGTATTTAATTGCATGGTTCTGTAAAGTATCCCGAGGCTGCAAGTTTTAATTCCACATCAATTAAAAAAAAACCAATCTTTCATATTCCCGCAGTTACACCTTGGATAATGACGTCCTAACTCTAGAGCAAAGACAATTCTATGAGGACAATGGATACCTTCTCATCAAAAATCTGGTGGCTGATGAAGATATTGAGCGCTTCAGGTAAAACAAAGACGGGTATCCTTGACTGGAAATCACTCAAACCAGCACCTTGAATTGCTCCAAGACAAGGGTCTCAAACTTGACACACCTGAAGACTTGTGGACTTCAGCTCCCAGAATTCCTCAGCTGGCCATGTTGTCTAGGGAATTCTGAGAGTTGAAATCCACAAGTCCAGGAATTCTGGGAGTTGAAGGCCACAAGTCCAAGAATTCTGGGA